TGCTGGGTGTTTCCTTTTCGGGGTCCAGATCCCATCCTCATTACTAGTTCAAGTCTCAGTCTTGCTACTTGCTAGCTTCTTAATGTTGGAGAAAGTCACATAGCCTTTCTGAGTCTCAATGTGTTCATCTGTAAAATAAGATCACTGCTAGCTCTTCAGCACCCACAAGGCTGTTAAGAGGATCAAATGAGATATGAAGGTGCTTTGTGACCCAGTAAAAGAGATTCTCAGTAGCAGTTGTCATAGCCCTTTCACCAACAACCTGGATGAATTCACAGAATCATGGGATCTCAGAGTTGGAATAGACTTGAGGGGTCATCTAGTTCAAACTACTACCTGATGCATGATTACCTCAGGATTAATACACTTATGAAGGACACCAGCCTGAGTAGAGGTGAGAGATGTCCATATAGGGGGTTGTTGGGAAGAGAAAATAATATTTTTGATTGATTGATTGACCAACATCAATCAGGGACAGAGTCCAATAATGTGGCTATGGTAAGTGAGAAAGTAGACGACAGTAAAGGGAGTGAAGGTCAGTGAGAACAGGTCAGCACAAATAGGGAGAAACAAAAGTCTGGAAGGTGGAATATGGAGAAATAGTAATAAAAATAAAGCCCCAATGAAAGCAAAATGTAGGCCCTGGAATTCTCTATATTCCCCCTTCCCCAACATACACATTGTGCTCCAGTCTTAGGAGACAACACAGTAATAAGATGGTTAGTAATGCTGAAGGACAAGGAAGATAAATAGAATGAAAGAATTTTTGGAGCTGGAAAGGGGCCTTTGAGATCATCTAGTCAAGGGGTTAATAAACTACATTATTTAAAATAGTAAAAACCATTCTTAGCATCCCAGCGCTTAAAAAACAGGATAGGGACTGGATTTAGCACTGAGCCACCTAGCTGCCCCAGCATATATCAGATTTTGAAGGGCCTTCGTAGGTTATCTGGTCTAATGCCTCTGTGAACAAGAATTCCTCTTACAGTATACCTGATGAGTGGTCAGCCAATATGTCTTTGAGACCTCCACTGAGGGCATATCCACAAGCTCCCAAGGCAATCCATTCCACTTTGGGATCATTGGGAAGTTTTTCCTTATACCAAGCTAATTTTACCTCTTTGAAACTTCTGTCCATCTCCCACTTTGAGGTCAAACAACAGATAAATTTCTCTTCTACATGACAGTCCTTCAAATACTTCAGAACAGTTTAGCACGCATCCTTTCCCCCAAAGTTTCTCTTCCCTACACTAAACACTGGCCAGGTCCTTCAACTGGTGCTTATATGGTATAATCTGGAGGTCATTTACAATCCTACCCACCTTACTGCTCCATCTCTTGCTCCTTAGCTGGATCTTCTTCCAGGTCATAGCCAATAACCATGAGGTCCCCCCAGGTTCAATCCTAGGCTCTCTTCTCTTCTCTCTCTAGACTTCAATTACTTGGTGATCTCATCACTGCCCATAGTTTCAATTACCATCTCTGCAAAAGACTCTCAGATCTACTTGCCTAGCTCTAAGCTCTCTTCCAACCTCCAGTCTTGAATCTTTAACTACCTATTTACATGTCTCAAACTGGATGTCCTGTAGACAAATTAAAGTCAACATGTCCAAAACTGAACTCATCTTCTTCCCCCCTTCCCCTAAACCTTCCCCTCCTCATAATTTCTCTATTACTGTCAAGGGCACCATTATTCTCACAGTCTCCTAAATTCCCAACCTATGTGTCCTCCTCAACTCCTCACGGTCTCATACCCCTCCCCTCCCAATATCAAATCAGTTGCCAAGCTCTGCCATTTCTACTTTTGAAACATCTCATATGTGCTCCCTTCTCTCCTCTGACACTGCCATGACCTTGGTACAAGCCCTCATCACTTCACAGACAATTACAAAAGCCTGTTGATTGTTCTCCACATGTCAAGTTGGTCCCCACTCCAATTCATCCTCCTCTCAGATGTCAAAAAGCATAGGTTTGATCAGAGCAACCTCCCATTTAAGAAACTCCAGTGGCTCCCTACTGCTTCTGGGATCAAATATAAAGCCCTGTAGTTTTTAAAGTCCTTCCTCCCTTTCCGGTCTTCTTACACCTTACTCTGTGATTCAGTGACACTGACCTCTTGAAGTTTCTCAAACCTAATACTCTATCTCCAGATTCAGATTGTTTTCACTGGCTGTCCCCCATGCCTAGAACTCTGTCCCTTCTAATCTCCACCTCCTGGCTCCCCTGGCTTTCTTCAAGTCTCAGGTAAAGCCCTGCCTTCTGCAAGAAGCCTTTCCTGTTTAATTCCCTTTCCTTTTAATTTTGCAATGCTTTCCATCTAAGCTTACCTACAGCTGATACTATAGATGTTTGTACATAGAGGTTTGCATGTTGTCCCCTCCATTAGACTGTGAATGACTCTAGGGCAGGGATTGTTTTTCTTCAGTTTTTGTCTTTCTTTGTGTCCCTAGCACTTAACATAGTGTCCAGTACACAGTACAGCAGCTAGGTGGCGAAGTACATAGAGTACCACATCTGGAGTCAGCAAGACTCATCTTCATGAGTTCAAATCTGACCTCAGACACTTCCTAGTTGTGTGACCCTAGGCAAGACTTAACCCTGATTTGTCTCAGTTTCCTTATCTTTAAAATGAGCTGGAGAAGGAAATGGCAAACCCCTCCAGTAACTTTGCCAAGAAAACCCCAAGTGGCGTTATGAAGAGTCAAGTGCAACTGTAATGACTGAACAACAAACAACCTCCCCCCCCAAGCACACAGTAGGTGCTTAATAAATACTGGTTGACTTGACCATGCTGGTTACCCTCCTCTGGACTCTTTCCAGTTTATCAGTGTTCTTCCCAAAATGTGGTACACAGAACTAGACAAACACTATATGCCAAAGTGGTCTGACTAGACCAGCAGGACTCTGTGTCATCAACCCCTTAGCTCTGATCATGTTGCTTCATGTTGCTTGAATGTGACCCAATATTCAATTAGCTTTTTTGGCCACCATATTCCCTTGTTAACTCATACTGAGCTTGTAAAGCCCACTGAATACCATCAATCTTTTGCAGATAAACTATTCTCCAATCATGTTTCACTTACCTTGAATGTGAAAAGTACATTTAAAAAATCCAAGTGTAAAAATTTATATTTTCTCTATTAAATTTCATCTCATTAGATTTAGACCAGTGCTCTACCCTGTCAGAATCTCTTCCAATTCTCACTCTATTATGAGGAGTCAATCTTCCCTCCCAGCATGGTGTCTCATGCCAGTCTGAGAGATATGCCCTCTGTTCTTTTATCCAAGTCACTGACAAACAGTGTTTGTTTGGGGCAAGCATCCTTCCCTGGAGGCCCTCCTGCAGGGTTCTCTTTCCAATATGATATCAAACTAGCTGAGTCCACAGTAGGGCCAGGGCTAGTGTTAGGTCTTCGGACTTGCAGGTGAAGGTAGCTCCCTTTCTCAAGTTGTGTTTTTTTGTTTTTTTGCAACAGGTTGTGAACTTCTGTAGACCTTTCCTAGTATCCCTCCAGGCTAATGCCCTTCTTATAAGATTACCTTTCACTTATTTACATTATCTATACCTTGAATTCACAGTTATTTGCATGTTGTCTCTCCCTACTAGAATGTGAGAATCTTGGGGGCAATGACCATATTTTTTTTTCTTTGTATTGTCAGCACTTAGCTTAGTGCCTGGCTCATAGTAAAGTTGAATAAGCGCAGAAAAACACCATAGTGTTAAGCAGCAGAAAGAAAAGAGTGGTGTGGAACAAGAGAGTGAGAAACAGTGTGATTTCAGAGCCAAGTATGGTCTCTTCTCTCTCCCCTCCTCCCAATACCTTCCCAGTCCCACCACACCCAATTCAGGACTCTGTCCTGAAATTTAATAATTAAGGATTTATGTCTTTATCCTGCCTTAAAATGCAGCTCTCCTCCCACCATAAGACACTTTACAAAAGCCAAGTACTTTACACATACATGTGAATGCACATACCAACACTTTGAAAAGATTTTTTAAAATGGAGTGGTTAAGGATAAGATAAGTGGTTAAGGGAGAGATAGCCCACCCAGCTGACAGTGGAGTGAAACAGAGTGAACAATATGGGCCCCAAGGGTCAAGTTCATAGGATTTTGTATTCTTAGATCTTGAGATCTTACAGATCATCTAGTTCAACCTTCTCTTTTTACAAATAAGGAAACTGAGGCACCGAGAGCTGCAGTGAGTTCCCTAAAGTCACACACTAGTAAGCAGCAGTGCTAGCATAATCTTCTGACTCCAGAACTGGGGCTGTCCTCTGCACCAAGATGCCTCGAAGGCCTGGCCACAAATGAGTTAGGTATTTGATAGCTTGTGGATTGACTGAAACCTCAAAGCTTTATAATCTTGTCAATGGTGAGTCCTGTGCAGGGAGCTTCCCACTCCACCTGTAAAGTACAGTAAGGGTTTTAATGCCTTTGGGGGCCAAAAATAGAGACAGGAATAGTAGACACTGGAACACTTGAAATAAGAACTGCTAAGACCATATCACATGCAGGAACTTAGGGAAATCACAGAACTCTTTAGTTATGCACTATACAACCAGGAGAGAGCGCCAGAGACCTGTGAAAGGAGACAGTTTCCTAAGACCCTGAAGGGCAGAGTCGGGAAAATCAGAGGGTCAGGATCAGTCAGAATGAAGACAGTGAATGTAAAGTTCGGACAAGGTTCCTAGAGAACATATCTGTCTCTTTCCAAATTTAGTCTAATGCAGAACATTCTCTAGTAGGCTCCTTTTTTTCCCCCACAAGAGTCTTTTAGAGCAATGTAAGAGAAAGAACCTAGTGTTTTCACTTAGAAGTCCCAGGCTCATTACTAACAATGTGTGTAGCCGTCAGTAAATATCTTGCCCTTTATGAGTCAGAGTTTCATCTTACGTAAAATTGCTTGCCTCACAAAATAGTTGTGAAGAAAGTGCTTTGTAAACCTCCCCCCCGTGTGTGTGTGTGTGTGTGTGTGTGTGTTATCCTCACCCCTCAGCTCAAAACAATTTAAAAAGAGAAAGAGTCAGTAGTTTGGGAGACAGATTAGACATTTTAATAGGGGCTTGAAGGAAAATAGAAACACGTGCGCCGACCAGGACCAGAGGGAAGGTGGCAAAAATTGAACTACTTCTTACAAGAGGAATTGAGACGTCAAGAAAGCCCCACTCCGACTCGCCGCTCCCCTCGCCCCCGCCATTTTCTTAAACTGCCTTCAGCGGGGAGCGGGGAGGAGATAAGGCAGTGCTGGGCTCCCGCCAAGTGAGTGGAGTGCCGATATCACCGACGGGGGATGAGGCCAGAGGCCTCGGGGACTCACTGGTTAGGCTGTTTAAGTCAGGTGGTGATGAGAAAAAGTGGAAAGGAGCTGGCTTCCCAAAGATTCAAGAATGGAAAGAAAAGGGGGAAGATTAGGGGTGCCGTCTGGAAGTCCTCAAAATAGTCAGGAGTAAGCTGGAACTGGAGAAAGATGGAGAAGGCTCTTTAACCTTGGAGGGTTGAGGGCATAGAAGAGCAGAGGGATTTGGAGGCTCCTCCTAAGGTCAAGAGCCGAGGCTACAGGCCGCGGGAGGACTTCCTCAGTGATAATGCCCCCCCACCCCTCCGAGGTGCGAGGTGGTGGCCACTGCCCCGAAGGGCCCGGGAGGAGGCTGGAGGCTGGGGTTGGGATAGAGAGCTGCCGCGGCGGCAGCGGCGGTTGCAGCTGCTGCAGGGGCCGGGCCAGGCCAATAGGAGAAGCTGGCGGGGGCCACCCCGGCGGAGGCCGCCACGAGGTTGAGTTTGGAGAGGCCAGGGAAGGGCAAAGGTGCCAGGGCTGCGGGCAGCTTGTAGAGCGCGCCATCGTGGGCTGCAGCAGCAGCGGCGGCCGCTGCGGCCGCGGCATGGGCGTGGGCGTGAGCGGGCGGGGGCTGGCAGGCTTGGGCCAGGCCCTGGAAGTCGAAGCGGTAGGCATAGCGCTTTCCGTGAACTTTGCTCATGATGTTCTTGTCGTAGTAGTAGCGCAGCGCCCGGCTCAGCTTGTCGTAATTCATGTTAGGCTTGCTCTTGCGCTCGCCCCAGCGCCTCGCCACCTCGTCTGGGTCGGTCAGCTTGAACTCGCCGTGGCCACCCTCCCACGCGATGCAGCCTGCGTTCGCCCGGTCTGCCAGCAGCTCCAGCAGAAACTGCCACAGCTGGATCTGGCCGCTGCCTGCGCGCGAGGACACAAGGCAGGCTGGTTCAGTGGCGACAGACTCGTGAGGCGAGGCAACGTTGCGTGTGTCACTTTGAGGACTGGTGCCACAGCGCTCCTTCCCACCCCCCCCCAACAGTCGCAGCTGTCCCTCCTCCCCCGGGGGCCCGAGGTGGTAGGGTGAGAGCTCACAGAACGAGGGGTAGACCCAGTGGGACAGACTGCGCCTTGTCCCAAGTCCAGGTAGGCTGGTGGGTCAATATGGGTGCTTACACTAGTGTCCCAACCACCTGCTTTGTCTATTCTACTCTCAGAGTTCAGGTAGGGATGCTCTCTGCAGCCCCTCCCTCTGTCTGTCTGTCTCGGGGCTGAGAGTCTTCCCTCTCCAACCTCTGCGTGCCTTTTTAAATGCCAGTGCCTTAGCACAATTTGCTTAGCAAATTCCTTTGAGAGTCCCTCATCCCTAGAGAGGGGGGAGCATGGAGTGTGGAGGTCAGCTTGGGAAGAATGTAAACTCTCTCTGGGGTAGACAAGACAGGCGGCTGAGAAAAGACCTGGGGTCCCACTGTGGATCGTAGACATCCTGATGAGGACCCCTATAGCTGAGTTCCTTAACCAGCTTGGGTCTCAGCTTAGTGACAATTTAACTTCTGGGTCTCAGTTTCCTCATGAATAAAATGTGGATGATAATTTTGCACTACCTATTCTCTTCAGGGATGTTTTGAGGTAGGACTTTTGGTAAACTGTGTGCTATTACTGCAGTTTCTATCTTGGGCCTCACTCGTGGAAAGAGAAGCCAGCCTTGGAGTCAGGAAAACTTGGATTCAAATAGAGCTCATGACACATCCTGAAGGTGTGACCTTGGGCAAATCACTTAACCTCTTCTGACACTAGGCACCACTCCCTAAGCAGTTGTCCCTAACAATTGCCTGTTCTGCAGATGCATTGGTAGACGGAGTTTTCTTGGGGGAAGGGGCTTCTTACATAAATGAAATCAGGATCCAAGCTCTCTTTCCCCATAAAGCTTTTTTAAAAATAATTTTTTTCGCTTATGCCCGGTTCCTGGTTTCCTCCTCACACCCCCTTGCTCTTACATTTTTTCAGAACCCTAATCGAGTCCCAAGTCCCTTACAGCCTCAGGTGTCCTTCCTTATGGTCCCTGTGACCTTCTCCTCTCCTGAACTCTCTATCAGACCCTGAGCAGCTTTTATGATGCTCAGCTCTAGCACCTGAAAAGAACAGGCGTCTCTCAAGCCTCTGTTAGAAAGGGAAATGAAAGCCTCTGTTAGAAAAGGGAAATAAAGCAAACAATTTTTTTTCTTGACCTATTAATGAATTCTTCTTTCACTTCTACTCAGGAGAAAACGTCTCCTCCTTTCTCAATTGTTTCTTTCTGAAGCGACCTCAAAGTTCCCCTCCCCACCTCAGTCTACATGCCTATACAAAGCTTGAGGAGGCCAGGAATGAGGAGTTCGAAGAATCCAGGCTACGGACTGCGTCCAGGCCCCTTATTCCTATTCCCGGAGAGTCAATGCTAGTCAGTCGGATCCTCTGCCGGGACTGGAGAGGGGCAGGGTCAGTGAGCGATGAGTGTGAACTCGGCAATGGTACCTGATATTGGGAGTTTGGGGCTCCAGATTCTGTTGTCATGAGGCCACGTGAGGACCCCCAGACCTCGCATCTCCTTGAATCTTAACGAAGTAATATTCCAGATAAATCAGCCAACCAATGGCTAGCCCAGGTATTAGAACCAATGAGGCCAAAACAGATATGACTCTTTTCCCTCCCCCCCAAGTTGTCTCCATATTTCCCCGAGTTTTCTGCCCAGGCTTAGCCCACCTAAAAGGTTAATCTCACCACTCTCACTCGTGCCCCCCCCTTTCGAGCTTTCTCAGCAGCACCAGGGCCAGCGACATCATTGACATCAACGCGGTGACGTCACTTGCTGTAGAATTTGTTCTGTCTGATAAACAGCTTGTCCTGTTGTCCCCCTTTCTCCTCTGCTAGGCTTTTCTTCCGATCCCTTCCAGAGCCAGAGAAAAGTTGCTCTCCAGCCCTCACCTCTGGATCAGACTTTTGGGGATAGATGTCCCAAGATTGCATCAACAGGAGCAAAGTTGAAAAATACCCCTCTACACACACTCTTGCCTTTCCCCCCCATTCCTCCCCAAGTGGGGTCTTTCCCAAAATTCTCGGTTGCCTCTCTAGAAGCCTTGGAAGGCTATTGGGAATCGGGAGATCTGGGGACCAGTTCTGGCTCTGGCACTTCCTAGCTACGACAAAGAAGCTTCATCTTCTGAGCTCCAGTTTCCTCCTTTCTAAAATGGAGGCAGTAATACCTGCGCTGCCTAACTCCGAGAGTCTTTGTAAGGAACGAAAGACTGCCCTAACAGGAGAGATTGTTATCAGCCAGTTCGGAGAAGGCCCCAAACCCGAAAGTAGCCATTTGACTTCTGTCTCCGGGTCTGTTTCTCCAGCCAGCCTCCGCTGCTCCTGCCTCTTATGCTTCTGTCAATGTTCTTGTATCTGTTCATGCCTAGGCCTGAGCTCCAGTAAATTTGCATTAAAGACTTCCCCTTTGTCTAAATTATGACACACGTGTCTTCTCTATTCCCAGTTCTTGGATGCTTCCCATTCAGAGCTAGCTCTTTCGGGCGTGCCCTCACCCCTCAGACAGACTCACCCCTCCCAGCATCCCTGGTCTCTTAGTTCCACTGGTTCTCAAACCAGAACACTCACCTTTCTGCACTGCGGGGCTCAGCGGCCCCCAGCCACTCTTTCCTTCTTTGAAAAGACTCTCCCCAACAGGATCTGAATGGGAAAGAGAAGCTGCTCAGGGTCTTCTTGGGAGCAGATAGAGGAGCTAGGAGAGGGGAGGGCCAAAGGGACCAGAGGGGACACCTGAGGCTGTAAGGGCTTCGACTTTATTCGGGCTACAAAGGTTCTGAGAAAATGTGAAGCACAGCGGGTGTGGGAAGGAAATCAGGAGCCAGGCACAAGAAAATCAAGAGGGAAAGGGTCATATAGGGAGGAGACTATGTGGAGAGAAGACTTGAGGAGGAAAAGAAAGAAAATCGAAGGGGGCAAGGGACATAGGGTGAAGACCCTAGAGTGCAGAGGTTGTGGGCACGGGGGGTGTGGGGAAGGAACTTAGGGGGAAATGTAGGGTCTCCAGGAGCAGACCGGAGGATTCCGGGACCCTAGAGAAGCAGAGGCTCCTCAGAGGGCAGAGCCGAGGTACTGGGTGGCAGAACAGGGTGTGGCAGGTACACTGGCCCAGGCCTCCATCGCTCCCTCTGCGCTGCAGCCCGGCCAGTTCCGCTCCTTCTCCCCCAGATCCTGCGGTGGCGCGGCGCGGCGCTGAGAGGAGCTGAGTGCCTCAGTGGAGCCCAAGTCAGGAAACGCGTCCAGGAAAAAGGAAATCCGCTTTCCGACCAAGCTGGCGGGTTCCTTATATAGGGGGTGCTGGGGCCCAGAGAACCGACCAGGAGCCGGAGAGGGAGACAGCAGTCGAGACAGGGAAAGGGAGCCCCGACACCCAAAGGAAAGAGCGTCAGTGATTCGATTTGCGGAGCCCCAGGGATTAAAAAGACGACCAGGAGCCTCAGTGGAGAGGAGGGAGCATTTAAGTCTGACAGAAAGGTAGAGGGATAAAGGAAAGGTGAGGAAAGGACGGTGCGACTGAGCCTAGGGGTGGGGGTGTGTCAGGCTTCTCTGAGTTTTCGTTCCCACGCTACGCAGCTCTTCAGCCCTCTGTCCTTGATCCCCTAGCCCTCAGCCTTCGAACCTCCCGATCCGCCGTCCCCCCCACCCCCGTCCCATCCATCCTCAAGACCCATGGATCCCCAGACCCAGTTCCTCACCCAATAAGACCACAGTCTCGCGGTTCTTCAACCCTCTCCCCCTGCACTGCTCCCCAAAAAGTCCCGATAGTCACGAAAACCCCAGGCCCCTGACCCTGTGCCTCCTCCCAGCCGCTTTCCCCAGCGGGACCCTGCAGGTCACCTGGCAGGTACATGTTCAGCAGCAGGGGCTGGGAGGCGCCGCTCTGTCTCATCGCCGCCTCGGAACTGGGAGGTGGGAGGTGGGCGTAGGGGGGCCGGTCCCGGCCAGGGGCGGGGGAGGGCAGGCACTGCACTCCGGGGCCCCCGAGACCCTCCAGAGGCCGCCGCCGCCGCCGCCTTCACCCAGGGGGAGGAGATGGAGCTAGGCCTAGACCGGCCAAGAGGAGGGGGCACCGTGGGGTGCGGGGGGGGCGCTTGGGAGGCCTGGCGGTCTAGGAGGCTGGAGGGAGGGCCTGGGGCGGTGCTCACACAGGGGCTTCCTGGAGACCCGCCCCCCAGCCCCCCTATTCTCCTGTCCCCCTTCCCGCGTCTCGGGCCGAGGCCGCAATTTCCTTTTTAATTAAAGTGCTGCCGCCTCGAAACCCCCCCCGCCCCTCTTATCGGCCCCATCGCAATAAAGTCCCTGCTGTCGAGCGCAGCCGAGCAGCGCCCCCTGCCCCCCGCATCCTTCCCCCGCCCCTTACCGTGACCAAGTAGACACATTGGGAGGCCAGGAGGAAATGGGGGACAGAGGGGCAGGGAAGACTTGGACTCAGATGGGCTGGGCCGAGCTAGTGGGGAACGGGGGTGCAGGGACCCATTTTCCGCCTTCTTGAGTCTTTGCAAACAGTGAGTTTAGAGGAAAGCTAGAGAGACTGGGAGGGCCAGGATTAGGGGTACAGGATTCAATTTGACAAGAAGCCCCATTCCCACTCTTCCCCCCCCAAACTCCCAGCTTCGCTTTCCCCCAAAGTCTCAAATCCCCTAGTATTCACCGTTCCCTTTTTCCCCTCCTCCCCTTCATTCTCTTCTTTTCCCCTCCCGTCCCCTCCCTTCTCTTCCCTCCCTCCCGTCTCCTGGCTGCGTTATCTCCATCTTCACTTTTAAATTTCCGCTTCCCTCCCTCTCCCCAGCGCTCCCTCTTTCCCGTCTCTCCGCTCCCAGCCCGATCTGCCGCTCCCCTTATCTCCTCCCCGCCTCCCTTCATACACCGCTCCCCCCGCCAGCTCTTCCTCTTTCTTCCTCATGGACCCATAGAATATTAGAGTCTAGAAGAGACCTTAAAGGTCATCTAGTCCAGCCTCCCTCCTCTTCCCTTCTTTCTAGTTCTCTCTTTTCCTTTTCTTCTTCATCCACATATCCCCCCCCTCCCCTCCTCCTCCTCCTTCTCTTTCTTTCTTATATACCCTCTCTTTTTCTCCCCATCCCACTCTTTCCTCCCTACTGCATCAAATGGATCTCCCTGGGCATCCACCTCTGCGGTGGGGTGTGGGTCCTGTCCACCCTCCACTCCGCAGTCACCGAAGACATATCCACGGTAGTTTTCGATCTTCACATCAGGCGTTTAGGGGTTTGGGGAGACCTGGAAGTGGTTGATTACCCAGATCTAATGTCTCCTGGCCAGGGATCTCAAACCACACTTATTTATTTATTTTTAGTAGCTTGTACACAGAACGGAGAAAATACCAGAAGGAATGGGAATTAAAACTAGGAACAAAATCAAGGCCCTTTGCCAAGCTTTGCATCCCACCTCCCACCCCCAGGCCGCTTACACCTCTGTCCTAGTCTTCCTCCTTCCCCAAAAGCTCTTGAGAGGACTGAGAATAGAGGGGCAAATCTCCATGAACCTCCTGTGGGAGCACTGCCCGCGGTGAGAGCGCAGCACCCGTTCCTCTCCAAATGGGATTTCCTTTGAGTCAATCCCCAAAGGCCAGGACTGTGAGGAGACAAGGTATATGCCCTCTCCCTTCAATTCCCTCCATCCCGTCAGCCTTGTGCTGGCCTTCCTCTCTAGGATGACACGCTCTCTAGAGCACTCCCGACTTGCTTTAGCGTCCTGAATCTTCATAGAGCCCTACCGTCAGCTGAAAACCAGGGCAGAGCACTGAGTGCCGGGAAGAGCTGAAATATTGGCAGAAGGAATCGGAGGAGGCTTGAGGCAGGGGCAGGAGTGGGGTGCGGGTGGGGGGTAGGCCTTAGTCTAGGAAGAGTGTCTAAACTCCTGCGAGATCCCGAGGAGGAAAAATCTGAGTATAAGTGGGAGGCAGTAGTAAGTAGTGTGGGGAGGTTCTGGATAATCATCCAGTTTCATGGTAGATTTTCTGGAGGCGTGGAGGGGGAAGATGGAGGTGGGGAATTTAGGACACGAGATGAGGAGCTGCACTCCTTGGGTTATTATGTGGCTCTGATCTTTGGGGTTGTGAGGCTATTGGGCCTTGGGCCTGAGGATCTCAGTCTCTGGCTTCTCCAAGTCTGGCAAGGAGATTGGAGGCTTAGGGCCAGAACACGGGGGTGGAGAGGTTGGCAGCAGGGACCCAGGTCCCTTTTCCTCTAGCTGCCTCCCCTATCCTAAGTACCTTGAGGCCAGATATCTCTCCCAATCTATCCTAGTGGAAGCCAAAGTATTACTTTGGGGATGGAATTGATTGGGGGAGGGAAAGAATCTCTGGGTGGGGAGGGCCATAGAAGAAGTGTCACTGCACTTAGTTTTGGGAAGGAGAAGGGGCAGGATCTCACCATCTTCAGGGTTAGACAGGACCACTGAGTCAGAAAAGGGCAGGATGCCACAAGTACTGAGGCTCCAGCCCTTGCAGGGACAATGATTCTCTCCTTTCTGCCAGTCATGGGAAAATCATTTCTAACCACTACTACCACAATCTCAATCTCTGCTCTTTTCCAACCCAGGGAAATTGAATGGAGGTGTAAGACTGGAGGATTGTCAGAGCTCCTGGTGTGGTATTTCTTGACAGCCTGGCACTGCTATCCAACCACAATCTTAGACAAGTCTGAGTTCAAGAGAATGGATCCTGGATACCTCCCCCTGCCATAACTCATGTAAGTGGGTGGCCTGGGTGGTCCCGTCTCCTTCAGACCTAAGCCTCATCCCTTGAGGGGGAAGATAATGTGGCTGGTCTCTATTACTAGGGATGCTGGGAGGACACATCATCCCAAGAAATCTAGTCAACCAAGTCACAGAACAAAGGTGCGTGGAAAGGCCAAAGAAGTCCAGAAGATCGAGGGGAGCCTAAACCCTTTGGTGTTCAACAAGGGTCCAGTCAGAGGGAATCCAAGGACAGAGCACCATGTCTGAGATCTGGCAATGGCCAGAATGCCAGAGCTTCAAGGAATACTAAGTTTTAGATAATATAGTGGACAAAGATAGGGGGCTGGACTCTCAGTTTTTTTTGGGGGGGGAGTTCCTTAGGAACTCCCTAATTAAAGAAACTCTGGCTACCAATGCAAGTTGGTACCTTCTTTGCAACTTTTAGTCTTAGAGGATGGCCTAGATGGTGAGGAGATTAGAGACTAGCTGCTATTTCTCTGAGGCCTGCACAGCTTAGAGAAGGGACTTGAACCCAGGTCTTCCTGTTTCCAAGGCCAGCTGTCACTTACTATACCACGATGACTCTTTGACAAAGGTAGAACTGAAAGTTAGGTATCCTAACACTCAGTTCATCTCAATCTTAGCGCAATGGGAGAATCCTGCTAATTAATGTCTATCATTGGCTGCTTTCCATTTGCCCCTCCCCTCCACATTTACCTCCCGCCAACCACATTTTACTTGGCCAAACTTCCCTCATTCATTTATAAAGGGGGAAAGGTCTTGGCTGAGATAGTTGTCCAGGATGCTTTCCTTCTGATCCCCCCAGAACTCTGCTTGCTGCTTACCCCGTATCCTCTGAAAAGAAACCCTATTCATTGCTACCACACCTCTCTCCCGCCCCCAACAAGTCTAGGTCTCCTTTAGACTCTGATAAATTATTCCTTGTCAGTAATACCAAGGTTTCTGGGTAGGGGGGAGGGAAGATGGAGAGAAAGGAACTTAGGGCCCTCCTGCCACCATCTTTACCCTGCCTCCTTGGTGCTATCCAGTTCTCCTAGATGACACAGTGGAGAGAGTGTTGGGCTTGGTGTCAAATCTGGTCTCAGACACTTCCTATGTGTGTAACTCTGGACAAGTCACTTAACCTGAGTTTCCTTACCTGTACAATGGGGATAATAGTGGCACCTAACAAAGAAGGATTGTTGTGAGGATCAAATGATAATTAGACTAGTGCCTGGTACATGTAGAGGCTTAATAAATGTTTATTGACTGATCAGTTATGTTGTGGTACCCAGTCTTTTCTGTGTCCAGAATCATAGAATTGGAAGGGAATTCAGAGAAGGGAGGCCTGATGTCTGGTTTTGAAGGGCTGTTACATAGAATAGCTATTAGGCTTGTCCTCCTTGTCCACAGGGTATAGAACTAGGAGCAGCAACTGTAAGCTGTGAAGGCAGATTCAGCTCCACATATGGCAAACTTTCATAACAATCAGTCAAAACAGAAGGTGCTGCCTCAGGAGGGAGTGGGATCACCCTTATTAGAGGATTTTCATGGAAAGATTCCCTGACTGCTAGTGGGGTATTTTATCCAGACAATTCTTAAACAGTATTTTATTTTTTCTAATTACATGTAAAGACAATTTTTAACATTTATTTAAAAATTTTCTTTGAATCCCAAAGTTTCTCCCTTCCTTTCCTTCCCCTCCCCCCCAAGATGGTAAGCAATCTGATACAGGTCACATAAGTGCAATCATGTAAACAAATTTCCATATTAGTCATGTTGTGAGAGAAGAAACAGACCAAGAAGGAAAAAAAAACCATGAAAAATAAGGAAAGTGAAAATAGTATGCTTTGATCTGCATTCATACTCCATAAGTTCTTTCTCTGAATGTGAATAGCATCTTCCATCATAAGTCCTTTTGTCCAGACAATTCTTATTCATGCATGCTATGGACTAAAGCATTAGTGTCAAAGAGACCACTAAATCACGCGTAAGGATCTCTACATGCTGCATATGGACTGAAAAAGACACATTAACATTATGTTTTGTTGTATTTTTATTTTGTTAAATTTTGTTGTTTCCCAATTTCTTTTTACTCTGGTTCGGGTCTCTGGGGAGTGTTGTGGTGTGGGGAGTATCTGACACCTCTGAACTAAGACGACTCCTATTTTTCCTTCCCACTGAGATTCTGTAATTGAATCAGCCTCCTACCCCAGGCCAGAAAAATAATAGCTGGCAATCCCATAGTGCTTTAAGATTTGCAAAGATGCATCATCTCATTTGAGCCAAACATTGACTCTTTGAGATGGGAGCTACAGGTATTTTTATCTCCATTTTACAAATGAGCAAACGGAGGCTCAGATATTCCTGATTATAAATCTACCACGATCTCCACTCTTCATGCTGTCCCCCAGAAATCTCCTTGATAACATAACCTTACAAGTCATATGGTAGGGTCTCTGCTTGCAACCCTCTGATGCTGAAGAACACATTATATCACAAAGTAGCTCATGCCACTTTTGGAGAGCTCTAATTATTCATCAGGGATGGCAATTGTTTTGAAGTGGGGCCCAGATCACTTACTCCTGTCTTCGGATCATTAATTTAAAACCGGAAGGGTCTTGATAGGCCATTTAGTCCAACTTCTAATTTTACAAAAGAGAAAACACACCCACAGAGGGAAAGGACTTGCCCAAGGTCATACAGTGAGTAGCAGATACAATATTCAAACTCAGGCTTTCCAGCGCCTCCCCCAGTGCCCTTTGCATCACAGTGTCACTCTTCTGGAATCTGGATGGGAGGTGAGCATCCAAGAACATTGCAGCCACACCCGACAAATTAGTCATCCTGGGGATTTAAAAAAGTTTACTTCCTTAAAATTCTAATACTGCCTGGGAAAATTAGCTTAATAGAGAGCTGGTTTTAGAGTCAGGAAGACCTGAGTTCAAGTTCCACCATTAACCCATGCTTACTGGGTCACCTCGGGCAATTCACTTAACTTGTAGGTGGTTCCCTCCAAAAAAACCAACATATGGCTCAAAGTTGTAAAGCAGATGTGTTACAATTGATCTGTACTAGTGAAGGAAGTTTCTTTGCTGGGAGTTCCAGATCAACTCATAGATCAGGTACTCAACATGGTTAGAATAGAACAACTCTGAGGTCAGGCCTTGGGATGGGGTGGAGAATCCCTAGTCAAAATACACTGGTCATCTGGGATTCTAGGTTCTTTTGGACACTAGCAATCTTAGCTCTGGGCCCAAACATACTACTGTCCAGACCCTAACAACAAATGGTTCAATTAAGAGTCTTGGGGAAGTTCCACTAATTGTAGTTAGGTAGCACAGTGGATACTAGCCTTGGAATAAAGAAGATCTGAGTGCTAATACAACCTCAGACACTTAATTAGCTGTGTGACCCAGGGCAAGTCACTTAACCTCTGTGTTTCTCAGTTCCCTCATATGTAAAATGGTGATAATAAAATAATCTGTCTCCCACGGTTGTAGTGAGTATATAATGAGGCAACATTTGTAAAGCATTGGGCAAATCTCAAAGCACTGTGTGAATCCTAACCACTATTAATGGGTAATTTTTCTTAGGGAGGTGGCAACTACAACTACCCTAGTTTCCAAATCCTCCCCTGGTATATTTAAGACCTCAGAATGTACTCTTTACAAGCATCATTTCATGTGAGCTGAACATCAGCTTCATTTTATCTATATTATCTCCATTTTGCAAATGAGGAGTTTGAGGCTCAGAGAGATTAAGTTATTTGCCTACAGTGACAAAATCAGATTCTGTAGGCCTGTCTTTCCAGGTCCCCTGAGTAGGGTATACTGAATCAGAGGAAGGGAAATATGAATGTATTAAGCACCTACTGTGTGCCAGGCATTCTTCTAAGTACTTTACAAATATCTCATTTGATCCTTACAACAAGCCTGTGAGGTAGGTGCTGTTATTAACTCCATTACAAAAGTAATTTTCCCAGGGTCACACAGATAGGAAGTGTCTGAAGTCTGATGTGAATTCAAGCTTTCCTGATTCCAGGCCTAGAACTCTTTCCGATGCAGCACTTAGCTGCCTCAGTACCAAATTACTGAGACTGGGATGCCTGAGTACCTGAAAGACTGATACTATTTCCCAGTTGTTTCTCTTCCTATCCCTTGACTCCCCTTTCAGAAAGGGAATGCTGCTGTGTGTTGTTTAGAAAGGCAAGGGTAAGAAAACTTGAAATGCAGGGAAGAAGTGGCTGTGTATTTGAGTGGAAGATGGTGAGATGAAGGCAGAGGTTCAGAGCATGATCTGAGAATCAGAGTGGAGCCAGAGTAAACCAGGAATCAACACCTCCTTGATCTTAACTCAGAAAGTGCCTATAATTGACTGTGGTGTGATGGGAATTGTAAGGAGTCCCCTACCTATCCATGGTTTCTCTGACACTCCAGTCATTCTCAGACAAGAGCTCACAGGATAAGTTAAGTTATATTTTATAAGACAAAGAAAAATATGGGGGCATGTGAGGCCAGACAGGCTTAGGAAATACTGCAGAGGAGAAAACTGGGAGTCAAGTATTAAATAATAAATTTCTGATCTTTGAAGGAATATTATAATAATGGGAGAGTAAGCATTCACTTCTCATCTCCCTGGGGTACAAGGTCAGGCTAGAAAAGTTTGCTGGTATCACAGCAAGAAGAAATAAAGTTAGACAGCAGGAGGAAATTCCTGACAGAAAGCTGAGGGACATGTTACAAGAGCTTGAGGAAAGTTATTAAATCTTTTCTGTTTGAAAAATCTTTGTCAGGAAGAATGGGAGGGAGAAGATAGAAGGGATTGAGGCCATTGTATATGGAGGAAGACAAATGGATGAGGTGAACTAACTCTATGGGGGGACAGGGAGGAGTGATATGCCTTCTAGAATAAGGATAGGCCTCATGTGTCAGGGAGGACACATGTGTCTTGCCCCTACTGAAACTTCAAGATGATGCAGAGAAATGTGAACTGGTGAGGCAAATTGAGCGCCTTTATTGGTGGTTCTGGGTCCAGATGTATCAGATGCTCATGGAGACCCTATAATGGGGTCAAATACAGCCAAATCTAGTGCTGGACTCTTCGAATGGATTGCAACTGGTTGGTATGGGCCTGGGTACCAAACTCGCTGTATTTTCGAAACTCTCCACTATGCCGGTCCTGTTCCAATACATACTGGTAGCCCCGGAAGCCGGGATATTGGTAGCCTACCCACCTAGGAACATGGAGAGAAAGGAATGGGTCACAAAGGATCTTTGGCATCTTCCTCCAAACCATCTGTGCTGGGCATCTATGGGCATCTACCACATTTCCCTCCCTTGTGGGAGCCATCATCCTTACTGGTCCTTACTTCTCTTTTCTCCCTGTACTCCCTTGCCTATCATCTTTGCCCAGTTTCCTGACTCCAAGTACTACAGTTCCTGATCACTTCTCCTTAGTGCCCTATTTCTCTGTTCTCCCTTCCCCATCACCCCTTTTCAGTTCTTTATCTCCATAATCCTTCTTCCCTATCACCCCTGCCTGGTCCCAGTTTCCCTGTTCCCCATTTTCCATCATACATCCCTAGATCCCATCTCCCAAATCTTTTTCTTGTTGCCCTCCCAATTACTGTCTCTTTCTCTATCCATTTCCCTTGTCTTCTGCTTCCCAGCAATCCCTTTCATTCAGTTCCCCACCCCAGTCCCCAGCACTCACGCTCCTGAGGTGACTTTGAGGGAGCCCACATCCTTGCTGGCCCAGCCCATGGCAGGCAGGGATGGATAGTCGTCGCTCAACTCAAACTTGCAGCCCTGGAAGTTTTCACCTTCATAAAGGGTCACTCGGCTGTCACTGTGATTCTGAGGGCCCAAAGGGAAAGTGGAAGGGAGGTTGAGGAGGAAGATTCCTCTTCTACCCTCCTCAGAAAGGTGGCACTAATCCTCCCTTCTGCCATGACAAGCAAACTAACACATACATAGACATACACACTTCCACTTCTCTCCCTCAACCCATGCACAAATGCACCCAGGGAGTGACGAGAGAAGTCTAGTCAATTTCCTGATTCTACATTTCAAGCCTCCAGAACAAGATCAAGGCTTGGGTCCCTTAGCTGAACCCTTCTTTCATGGACTTTATGAGGTGAGGATGCTGGGGGTAGGGGTTCCTCAGAATAATAAGCATATCAGAGCTGCAAAGGATTTCTTCAACTTCTCTATCCCTATTGATGAAACTACCATTCTGGGGTAGCTAGGTGGTGAAGTGGAGATAGCACCAGCTCTGAAGTCAGGAAGATCTGAGTTCAAATCTAGCCTCAGACACTTGACACTTACTAGCTGTGTAACCCTGGACAAGTCACTTAACCCTGTGCCTCACCAAAAGAAAAAAAAAAGAAACTACCATTCTCCCAGTGTCTCAGTCTTCTAAGCTAAAGTCATCTTTGCCTCTTTCTCACCTTTCACATCTACTCAATAGTCAAGTCCTGATTTTTCTACCTCTGAGACATCACTGGAATACAGCCCCTCATTTACACTCCTGCCAAACACCTAGTTCAGTTTATCTCTTCTCCCCCAGACTCTTGTAACAGTCCCTTCTCTGGTCTTTCTGCCTCCTGGTCCAGCTCTCACATTCTCTTTCCAATGGCCCAACACTCTTCTATTTAAAAATCTTCAGTGGTTCCCATTGTTCACTGAATAAATTATAAATTCTGACTCTGCTATTCAAGGCTCTCTGTAATAGCGATCATAACAATAATTGGCATTTATATAGTGTTTTGAAGTATGCGAAACACTTTATAAATATTGTCTCACTGTTCAGCCTTATCTCAGACTGCTCTTTTTCAGTTAGGCATGAGCCAGGCTAAACTAGACTTTTTTCAGTCCCTCATTTTCAGCTCACAATTTCCATTACGCTCATCTTTGCTCACTTTTTATATGCCTAGAAGGGGCTAATACCACTCCATCTTTATTTGTTGAAGTCCCTCTCCCTTTCAAGGCCCAAATTGGATTCCACCTGCTTCATAAAGCCTTCCTTGAGCCCTTAGTGAAAGTGATCTTGCCCTCCTCCAATTTTGAATAGCACTTTTCCTGGACCTCTCATTTTCATTTATCTAATTCTCCCTCCTATAATAGTCATTTGTATACTTGTCCTCCCTCCCAGTAGAGTTTAAGTTCCTTAAGATCAGGGTCTGTGTCGCATCCACCTCTAAATACCCAGCCACATCTAGCATGGTGTTTTACATGCAGAAGATCGAGGTAACTCAACAGGAATGAATAGCACCTACAGGGGAAAGGGCACTAGATTTCAAGTCCCAAGACCTGGCTTTCAATATTAGTCCTGCTGTTTACTAGCCTCACCTTTCTCAGTCTCCTCATTGGTAAAGTATAGGAGTTGTACTACATGGTCTCTAAGATTTCTTCCAACTTTAGATCCTGTAGCCCATGAAAGTCTGGTCAGTCTAGAGTTCTTCCCCATCCCCACTGAATTGACTCTCAAATGGTAAGGGAAGGAAGACGTCAGAGATAGATAGCATTGGACTCTCAGCACCTCCTTATTTGCTTTTCCTTTGTCTCCTTTCCCTCCCTCTCCAATTCCACAGTCCTATATTCGTAAAAATCAACATATTGAACAAAGAAATTCAACATATATAGAAGACTGGCCTTCTGGTAACTGTCTTTTGACTCCAATCCTAACCCTGTTCACTAATCCTCACCCACCACCACACACACTCTAACCCTGATTTTTACTGCATTTTTGACCACACTTGTAATCTAAATCGAGCCTTATTTTGCCCTCCTTGCAATACCCTAAGTGAAGCCCCGGGGGGGTGACCACTCTATACTCCCCTCTCAAGCCAGTCAAAGCTACTCCAGGTCATTCTGCTTAGAACCTTGGAGTCTGAGGGCACCTTAGGATGCAGGGAGCAGGGTGCTTGTCTGGGTGCAGTAGGGGAAGGTGCTTGTAATAGGTTCTTAGAGCTGGAGCTCCCGGGCAGGTGCGGTGGAGTAAGGGTTTGGGGGGGGGGCGGGACTCACAGCGCAGAGCAGAGGCCGGAAGGACAGAAGCTGGTCGGTTCGGTAACCGCTGCTGCCACTCCACGCGGTAGACCGAGGATAGTCGCCCTTCTCTAGGATGAACTGCTGGCCCTGGAAATCCGGGTACTCGAAGCCCACCCATCTGGGAGAGGATATGGGGGAGGAGTTGCTACTCTCTCCAGCACCACCTCATCGCCTCCCTCAGAGCAGGGAGCTTGGCAGGGACCCAAACCCTTTCCCTCTTTTGTAGGGACTACGCCTGATTGAGACTGAGATGTCAGGTCCTACCAACCTTAAGTCTGACTATGCTACTTTCCCTAAAGACCTTTGGGAGTGGCCAGTTTTCTGAGCCAGATTTCATCTCTGGGTCCTAAGAGTCTAGGCTTTAAAGGTTTGGAGTTTGGAGTCTTAGGATCTCCGAGTTTGGGACCTAGGTAAGTAGTTCGGGGTAGGGAATATCAGGGTTTTTTTGGAAGGGGGGCTGGGAGGATGAAGAATGGGGTGACTCACGCGCCGCTTTCCACCTTGACAGAGCGCACCCTGCGAAAGCCGCTAAGCTCTCGGATGCTGCTACAGTCGCTCATCAGCTCACAGCGACGGCCCTGGAAATTCTCTTCCTCCCACAGAGTGAGGCGGGCTGGGCTTGAGCCCTGGGACAGGGTGCCGCTCATGTTACCTGCAACGAGATGGACAAACTACTGGCTTAGGGATCAGCGTCTAGGCGCCTGATTTCCTGGAGCTCGCCGATGTCCAGCCCGGGATCAGAGGCAGGCTGGATCGCGGGCTTCAAGAGGTTCTCTTGTACATCTGCCACCTTCACTCTGAACTATCCCTGTGACTTCCTAGACTAGGAATTCCCCCGAGCTGCGGCTTCTTCTCGGGATGTAGCCCCCAACGGGTCAGGAAGGAGACAGCTGAAAATGAGGTCTTTGGGGTTGTTCCATCGACCAAAGGGAATTGAGGCTGGGGGAGCGGGGTATGGTGGAGGAGAAGGACGGACAGGCTCTCTCCTTCTTTTCAATGCCCTTCCCAGCCCCGGATTTCTCTTCAGATTCTCGTCTTCCCGTCCTATGCCCTTCAGCCCCCGGATGCTTAGTACTCACAGGGTGGGCTCGGGCTACTCTGGGGCTGTTGACAAGTTGGGTGCTCGACCGCGAGAAGGTGACATTTGGAAAGGGCCTTTATAGCCCTCCCTCTGTAGCCCCCAGGCCCGGCTGGAACAGCTGAGCTGAGTCAGCTGGCAGGTTACTGTCTAGTCCTGTTAGTCGCCACAGGAAACAAGAAGCTCTCAGGCCTTCCAGCCCTGGCCCAGCTCCCACCCACTCCTGACCCCCAACCCCACGGCAGAATAGAAAGTGCTGAGCCACCTGTCCAGGCACAATAGCTAGAAGCTGACACTGTGGTTCTTTTCTTCCTGAACAGTAGAGATGGAGATAGGGGCAGCCAGAGGTCATCTTGGCCAACCCCCTGTCTCCCGACACAACCCACAAGCCCTTGCCCAGGCCAGACAAAAGTACTGAAATATACTTAAACTATTCCTTTACCATTCTCTCTCTCTCTCTCTCTCTCTCTCTCTCTCTCTCTCTCTCTCTCTCTCTCTTTCTCTCTCTCTCTCAATCTGATTTTCTCTCTCTGTCTTACACACACACACACACACACACACACACACACACACACACACTCACACACTCCTTTTCCTGCTTCTTCCTAATGCCTAATCTCCACTCCTAGTACCCAGTTTTTCAAAGGCTCTTTGGATACAGCTACATCCAAGATTGGTTACTCAGTCTACTCTTCTTTGCTTTCTCTTGTCCAAACCAGCTCGAGGTAGTGCTCCTGCTAGTTTCAGTTTCAAGAGCCTTGGCTTCTCAACATCATTTCCTGAAGTTTTCTCATAAGAGTCAGAGGGTCAGTCTGTTTGGTATGAAAAGTCCCTTCCTTCTCTTTCCCAGGAGGTTTTGAAAAGGAGACTTGTGAGGTCCAGTCTAGGTTTTTTAATACGACCTTGTAATATGCTTTGTAACCCTGAAAAGTAGATGGTTTGGTGTGAAACCTGACCCTGCCTGCCCAAGGAGTAAAGTGGAGTTAGAAGGCTACTCATGCAATCCTCAGGAGAGAAAGTGCACGAAGAAAGGACTAAGGAAGCAAATACTTTAAGGATTAGCTAAGGCCTATCAGGGAGTTAAGTTAGGACTAATTTAAGAATTAGGCCAATGGGATGTGATGAAAAGAATATTAAACCAGGGGTTAAGAAACCTTGGTTCTGTTGCTGGGTACTATTATCTTCTAGTAACTCCATATATGACCAAGCCACTTTGCCTAGATGGATCCTAGTTTCCTATCTGTTAAAGGGGAACATTGAATCAGATGATTTATAAAATGTCTAGCTCTAACAATCCCTGAATCTGTAAGTGGATGTAACTAAGTTGTTGCTGTTGTTTGTCCTTCATTCTTGGAGAGGACCACGACATCGGGAAGATGATGTCTTGACTTGCAAGTGAATTGGATTTAAGTTGTGCAAGGTCACCAGCCTCGCTTTCTTCTCCAGGGCCATCTGGGTCCAATGGCAAGATATAGATCAGGATGATTGAAGGTGGCCCCCAGACATAACTAGGACCAACAGGTTGAAGTTACAGTGAGGAAGGTTTCATATTAGTGTAAGAAAGAATGTTCTCGCTGAGAAAAAAAGAAATTTACATGATAACTTTATTATATATTTAAAAAGAATAGCAAGTTGTACATAATGAATTTGCAGTTTCATGCACAATCACCTTTTTTTGTCATATTATGTTGTAGAAATGCTTGTTTTATTCCATAACTTAAAGAATATAATTAATTAATTAATTAATCAGTAAAAAGACAGGCAGTGAGCCCTCCATGTCTTCAGGTTTTCAAGCAGAGGTTCTATAACTGTTTTAGAGTTTATGGAAACCAGCTTGGTTACAGTACATCTATTTTAAAAAACTGTTATTTTCATGTTGACTAAGTACACTGCCACTATCTCCTCCCCCTTCTCCCCAAATTGTATATTTCTTTTTTTGTTTGTTTGTTTTTGGGGTTTTTTTTTTAGTGAGGCAATCAGGGGTTAAGTGACTTGCCCAAGGTCACACAGCTAGTACATGTCAAGTGTTTGGTCTGAGGCCGGATTTGAACTTAGGTCCTCCTGACTTCAGGGCTGGTGCTCTATCCACTGTGCCACCTAGCTGCCCCCAAATTGTATATTTCTGTTCAGTGAAGATGCTGTCCAGCTGTTAAAACCAACTTATTCTAAGTGACCCTTAGCCTTTAAGCTTATGTCCCTCCTCAATGTGTATGACTGGAAGTTTAAATTCAAACACTGGGGAAATATCTAGACCTCAGTGATATCCCGACCTCACGAGTGCTTCAAGCTTTCTTTCCTACCTGTGGAGCATAGAAGATGCTTTGATTCATCAAGCATGTGGAATCCTCAGAAAGAAAGCTATTTTTCCTAGATGGCCAACTGTTTAATAAAAGTCTGGGCAATCTTACCTATTAAACAAATACAAGATTTTGTTCTTTGACATGTTAAGAACATCAAGGATTGCTTCCTACCTTGCCAATGCAACATTGGGACCTCTGGAACCTTTCCATTGACCCTACAGCCAAACTCTTCTATGTGTATTGTCTCCCCTAGTTAACTCTTTGAGAGCCAGGACTGTTTAGATGTTCTATTTGTACTTCCATGGATTAGTACAGTGCTTGGCACTTAAATGCTTTTCCATTCCATTGAGTAAGCCATAAAGGGAATTCTTGTATAGGAGGGAGGTTGGATGAGAAAACCTCTAAAGTGTATTCCAATCTAGATTTTATGAATTTGTGATTTATGGCCTGAAGTTGCACAACATTTTTAACTTTTCTAATTTGTTTTTAATGAATGAAAATAATTTCCCCATCTCCGTCCTTCCTCCTTTCATTGGAAAAAGGAAAAACAAAAACAAAACCCTTGTAAAAATATGCATAATCAGGAAATCAAATTCTTGTCAAAAAATATGTGTCATTTTACATATTTAGAATGACCTGTCAAGTGGTAAATAACATACTTAGTCATCTAGAATTATGGTTCATTGTATATAATTCATTTATCATTTACCATTATGTACTACAGTTTTCTGTATGTGTCATACCCTCTGACTAGACTGCAAAGTCTATGATGGCAAGGGTAGAGGAATTTATACTTTATTTCTTCCCTTCTCTGTTCACAGAATGTCCCTAATAAATGTTTGAGTTAAATTGAGTTGCAACACTGTATTACTTCTGTTTCTCCAAATTTTTCTCCCTGTTGTTGTGAAGTAGGCTTCTTGCTTGTTTCACAATCTGTCGGATTGTGTGCCAGCTTTCTGAGATTAGTGGAAGACTGGTTTGTAAAACTAACTAGGGAGACTTGGGAGGCAAGTGGTGCTCCCACATTCACTTTTTCACTGCTGGTCATTGGCAGAGATAGGGAAAACATGCCTTTCTTCTCTTTGACCTCTTCTATGCACACACAGCTAGGTGTCCCAGTGTGTGGAGTTCCAAATCTGAGTTAGGAAGATGAGTCTTCCTGATTTCAAATCTGGCCACAGACATTTAGTAGCTGTGTGATCCTGGGCAAGTCACTTAACCCTGTTTGCCTCAGTTTCCTCATCTGTAAAATGAGCTGAAGAAGGAAATGACAAACCACTCCAGTATTTTTACCAAGAAAAACCCCAGATGGAGTCATAAGAGTTGTACATAACTCAACAACAATACATACATGCACACATGCATACACGCACACATACCCAATGATCACATTCTGTCTTGTGTCTAAGACTTGTGCCATAGTTATTAAGAATTTATGATATCCGTTATTGATTAGAGAAATGCAAATCAAAACAACTCTGAGGTACCACATCACACCTGTCAGATTGGCCATCATGACAAAACAGGAAAATGATAAATGTTGGAGAAGATGTGGGAAAATTGGAACACTAATGCATTGCTGGTGGAGAACAATTTGGAACTATGCCCAAAGAGCTGCAAAAATGTGCATACCCTTTGATCCAGCAATAGCACTTCTAGGGCTATATCCCAAAGAGATCAAACAAATGGGAAAAGGACCCACATGTACAAAAATATTCATAGCAGCTCTTTTTGTGGTGGCAAAGAATTGGAAATTGAGAGGATGCCCATCAATTGGGGAATGGCTGAGCAAGTTATGGTGTATGAATGTAATGGAATACTATTGTGCTATAAGAAATGATGAACAGGCTGACTTCAGAAAAACCTGGAAAGACTTGTATGGTCTGATGTTGAGTGAAGTGAGCAGAATCAAGGGGACTTTGTACACAATAACAGTCATGTTATACAATGACTAATATTGTTAAACTGAACCCTTCTCAGCATTACAAGGATCTAAGACATCTCCAGAGGCCTCGGGATGGAAAATGCTCTCCACATCCAAAGAAAGAACTATGGAAGTCGAATCGCTATCACTTATTTTTACCTTCTGTTGAGTTTTGTCTCATCTTTCTGATGGTTCCTCCTATTGGTTTTAATTTTTTTTTACTTACAACTTCACTAATGTGAGGATATGTTTAATGGGTATGTAAATGTAAAGCCAATATCAGATTGTGCGATGTCTTGGGGAGGGTGGGGGGGAGGAAGGGGGAGAAAAATTCTCAACTCAAAAGCATATGGAAGTGATTGTTGATAAACCAAAATAAATTAATAAAATTTAAAAAATAAAATAAGAATTTATGATATCTTTGTGCTACTTTAGGGTTTACAAAGGCAGGTATGTGAAAGTGCTTTGTGAGTTACTATTTTTATTTTGTGGATGAGGAAATTAAGTCACAGAGAACAGCAAGAAATGCCTGAATTGTGAAGAGAGTCATGTGTAAGACCAGGCTGAGATCCAGATTCATTTATTCAGTCTATTTTATTTGATTATATTCCATTCAACCCAACTCAGCAAGTCTCAAATTTATACAAGGCATTGTAGCTACAATGACAAAAATCTAACACCCCTTTTCTTAAGGGGATGACATTCTACTGGGGAAAACAATTTGTATGCAGATGCAAATGACATCCTGGTAAATGTTTAATAATGGGCTTTCTAGGAAAAAATGTACACATGGCACACTTTTAAGTTTAACTTCCGTTATTAATGTTTTCTCCATAACTTTCTTAAGTCTAGACAATCAACAATAAATCAAGCCTGATTTGTAACATTTGCTAATTTCTGAGATGTAAATGATCACATAAAAGATGAACAATCATCTTTAGTGAGCTAGTTTGTACTTACTGCAGCATACCAGTACAAATAAATTCAAAATATATTAAAAGTAAACACAAAGCAATTAGATGAAGGGGGGATAGGACAGACTAACCACTGGGGAGATCAGAAAGGGCCTCATGAAGGAGTTGGCTCCTGAGCTGAGACTTCAAGAACTAAGGACTCTGTGAGGCAGAGTCATTCAACAAACATTTAGGAAGTATATACTTGGCAGAGCCCTTTGC